AGGCATCTGGGAGCTGTCCCCCGCTCTTCCTCCTCATCACAGATTCCCCTCTCTGCAGAAAATAACACTTTCCTGAGGTAGGAGGTACGGGTCAGCTGCTGCGTGTTGCCTGGCAACCTCGGAAGGGAGAAGCCAGAGTGCATCCAGGAGCACAGGTGGAAGGTGGAGCCCTGGGCACAGGTGGGCCAGGAATACCTCCTGGGAGAAAAGGTAGCAGGCTGGAAAGGAGCCCGCACATTGGGCTTAGCAGTTCTGGGAGAGCTGGCTGATTCCATGCCCTGCTCCCTATAGTCCTGGTCTGGCCAGCAGTGGGCAGGCCTGCAGGCTGGAAGCGCTCTCAGCCTGGCCAGAGCTGGGAGTGGCCACTCAGACACAGAACCAGAGATAGGGCTCCTTTGGCCCTGGTGGTCGGGCACTCCAGTTGCCTTAGGGGATCACAGTGAGAAAAAAGCCAGTCGAACTGGTGTTCCTGCAACATGGGGTCTGCCAGGGACACACCCAGGACAGGGTCAGGGTTTCCAGGCTGGGCGGCAGCCTCTGCAGGCTGGCCTACTCTCCCCTCCATCGTAACCAGTCCTCAGCAACGACCTCAGCCACCTCTGCCCCATAGCAGCAGGCTAAGGACTGATTAGGGAGGGACTGAGCTGCCCTCAAGTCATCCTGAATAAACAGCTCAGTCTGTATAAGACCAGATGACATGCTGGGCACTGCCAACCCACAGGGCACCCACGCAGACCCTACTCCCTCAAGGTCCTAACCCCCGCTCAAGGCTCCGCACAGCCCATTCCTGAGCCTTGGACAGCCCAGCCCTGTCCCTTCCTCCTCCCCACGCTGGCCAGACCCTCCCCTGTGGGGTTCCCTGTGTGTCTTGGTGACCGGCCTTAAGTGAGTCCTGGGACAGGGAGGGCTCCCTCAGGGCCTGTGCATCCCTTGTGCTTCCAGGGTGTGTGTTCAGGATGTATTGTCTGGGGTTAACTGAGGAAGGGAGGGAGGGAGGGAAGGAGAGAAGGAAGGAAGGAAGGAAGAAAAGGAGGGAGGGAGGGAGGGAAAGAAGGAAGGAAGGAAGGAAAGAAAGAAAGAAAGAAGGAAGAGAGGGAGGGAGGGATGGGGCATCCTCTCTCTCTAGACATTTCTCTGCTTCAAAGTCAGTGCTAGCTATGTCTTTCAGGACCCAGGCCTCTTTCTCAGCTATGTCACCCCCTCAGCCACCTGGGTCCAGCCACCTGGATTCCCCTTTGTTACCAAGAGGTCAGGGTAAATGTGTGTGTTCCTCCTAAAAATGAACCATGTCATTCAAATGCTGAAGCATCCACAGTGGTGAAAACTGACCTTCCAAAAAGATCCCGCCATGCAGCCAGTGCCACAGCATAATAAGCTAAGCCTCCATCTGCAGCACTGGCATCCCATATGGGCGCCGGTTCTAATCCTGGCTGCTCCACTTCTCACCCAGCTCCCTGCTGATGACCTGGAAAGGCAGTGGAGGATGGCCCAAGTCCTTGGGACCCTGCACCCACATGGGTGTCTTAGAAGAAGCTTCTGACTCCTGGTTCAGCTCTGGCCATTGTGGCCGTGAGGGGAGCGAACCACCAGATGGAAAATCTTTCTCTGTCTCTTCTTCTCTCCGTAACCTCTGCTTTTCAAATAAAAATAAAATAATTCTTAAAAAAAAAAAAAAACACTGCATGGAGAATGAAAGTCACAAAAGGACCCTCCGTAGGCATCTGACATGTTTTAAGGCTGTGATTCTCACTTCCTTCCCTGACCACAGGACCTGGGCACTGGAGCCTGCGCCCAGCCTCCACATCTCCCGGGACTTCTGTCTGCAGGCCCTGCCCGGATCCCACCCCCTAGCAGCATCTCTGGCAGGAGCTGTCCACAGTAGGGCGCATCTGATACTTTTCCCTGGCAACCTTCACGTACAGCTCCCCCAGTTGCCTCCTCTAAGATGACAAGGAGAAGAAGGATGACATACAGACGGACTGCTGACAAGCGCCCGGCCTTCCTGAGAATGATGCCAGCCTTGTTGGCTTGGGAGTCCTGCCATTCCACTGACAGCTCCCCTGGAGTGAGAAAGCACCTCACCCAGCCTGCCCGGCTCCCCTCCACAAGCCCGCACAATGCCAGGCCTTATCTCCTAGGCCAGCGACCTGCAGTCACTCTGGGGCTGCTGGGAAGACGGGGGTCTCCCTCACACACCTTCTCTCCAGAGCCGCTCCCTTCCGGCCTTCCTTTCAAGCCGTTTCCCTGTGTCCCTGAGTCCTGCTGCCCTCTGCGGTGGTGACAAGGCCCACCTTCCACAGCACTGCCTTCAGAATCCAGCTGCCCTCACTCCTTGGCCACTGCTATGCCAGGCTCAGCCAACAAGAGAAGGCCATTTCCACCCAGTCCCTTCCCTGACCGCTCTCCTTCCCCACAAGCCCGTGTTGCTCTAGAAGGTTCCACAGAAGTCAGCTGGTTCAAGTCCTTCATGTTCAAAGGTGAGCAGCATCAGACTCACACAGGAGGAGCATGCTGGAGTGGGGGTGAGAGCTGGATGTGGGGAGACCTCAGCAGGCACGCACACTCAGAGCTGCTGTCGGATATTGGGGTTCCCAGCACAACTGGCTCAGGGATGTCCCCTGTTAAACTGAGGGCTCCGAGGCTCTGTGCATCTGTGGGTGAACAACCTATCCGTGACAACCAGGCAAAAGGAAGCAGTTGAGCCTGCAGGGCTCCCGGTTAGAAGGACCAGGGTGGCCAGGAGCCCAGCTCACCGGTGGCAGTGCCTCTCCAATGACCATAATCTGAAGGCCCACCAATTAGCCCAGCATTCCTACAGTGTCACTCAACCCAGCCAGCAGCCGGACCAGGGAGCCACAGCCCTCACCCAGTCTCGGAGGCTCCCCAATTCTTGGTGTCTCCAGTTCAAGGTCATCTCATTTCCCAATGTCATGCCAGTGAAAAACCGTGGCCGGCCACGAGGAACCCAGGGCTCCTGACCCAAAAGGAAGAACCACTCATGATGAGAGACTCAGAGCAAGCCCTCACCATTTTCTGGGAGCTCCAACCTCCCAGGCGAGCCTGCAAGGGCAGAGGTGGGCTTGTGGTGTGGCCATCAGCTCCCATGTCTGTGATTCCAGCACCAAAGGGGCTTTGCAGAGCTCCGTGGGGCTTCCACCAACAGGGGTTCCAAGAGAGCCCAGGCTTTTCGCTGTAACTGGCCAGGGACAATCTCCTCATGAAACGCCAGGTTCATTGCTGCAACAGGGCTCAGGCTGGGTAGCCACAAACATTTCCTGGGAACCCAGGAGGGCCCAGACACTTCCAGAGGCATCAGAGACGCCCAAGGGAGCCAGAGAACTGTCTCCAAGCGACCATTCTGCAGAGACACAAACGGAGCCTCAGGGAGGCAGTCCTCATGGTTGGCTAGGGTAGCGTGAAGGCTGGGATTTCCACTGCCAGGATGCAGGATGCCTGCAGAGTCACAGCCCCAGGCCTGGAAGGGAGACACACGGCCAGCCGAGCCTCCCTAAACCCAGCGGGAGGCTGGGGACCTAGGATTTATCAGACACAGACCGTCAGAGGCCAGACGGAGCATTGGCTGGCTGGCTGGCTGGCTGGGTTGAACTGGGTCCAAATACCCACCTGCTCTCCTCTCTTCCCCTCCCCATCCTCTCTTCCTTATCGGGCCTTCTGACACCTGCCTGTGAATTCTCCATCCCAGGCAATGCCCATCGCAGACAGGAAGCAGCCATGAGGCAGCCATGTGACCTCCACAACCCACAAGCACACACACAGAACAGGGCTGCTGCGCCGTGCCTAGCCCACTGCATCCTCCCACGACTGCCTGTATCCGCGGCCCGGTACTGACTCCCAGCCAGCCAGGCGCACAGGCCCCGTCTGCAGAGCTGGAGCTGGGTCCCGCCATCCAGGCATCTACTTCTTCCACACGGAGCTGGTCTCCTTACACTCTGAGGGCCACTCCTTCTACAGGTGTCACGGGGTCCCTGCTCTTCCATCCGGGCCTCCCACCCTGGGACCAACCTGGGTCTCAGAAACGCTTCCCTCCCTCCAGCTTCAGCTGGCTGCCACGGTGACCTCCCCTCCCCCAGGAAGGGCGGTGAGCTGGGGGCGGGAGTGTGGGAGGATCTCTCTTTCTCTCTCTCTCTCTCTCTCTCTCTCTCTCTCTCTCTGGGACGCAGGCAGGGCGTGTCGCTGGGGCCTTTCTCTGCATAATCTCCTAGTACGAGGTCGTCTTGCAGTTATCACCCGGCCTTCGGAGCCCCTAGGCAGTTAACAGACACTGGTCAAGGACGGCGGGTCTAGAACCTTCTGCCCAAAGGGATAACCCAGTGAAGGTGGACGTCTGTCCATCCCGCGTCCGCCCCTTGACCTGCATTGCTCTTTGAAGAAGAGGCAGGTGTCGGTCCTTGCTCCAGTGGCCGTCTGCTCCGGGGCCGGACGTGCCGTTTGGCATGGTTCCGGACAGGGTCCACGGGGAGCCGCTCCCGCGCCGCCGCGGGTCTAAGGGAGTTGCCAGATGCCCACCCTTGGTTCCATCTCCCAAGAGGGGCGCTCGTTCCCCACCCGAACCCCCGCCCCCACCCTCGTCGGCAGCGAGCCACCTGCGCCGTCGCCCGCAGCCGATGCCGCAGTGCGAGGCGCGAGCTCAGCGAGCGAGCCCGGCGCCTTCACGCCTTTGCCGGCGCCGCCACATGAGCCGCCGCCCTCTGGCTTCCCTGCCGCGCCGCACCTGCACCTGCACCTCCACCACCTCCCCCACCCCACCATCCGCATCCCACCTTGGCCGCCACCCTTGAGCCCCAGCGCCTCCCCCGGGTCCCTATCCTTGGCCCCTCCCAGGCCGGCCCCGCCCGAGCCGGCCCCGACCTCCACATCCCCATCCCTCCATCCTACTGGGCGTGGAAGAAGGGGCCTTTCCCAGCCGGGGCCGGGGGCTCCCCACGGGGCGGGTGAAGGCGCGGGGGAGGTCGCCCCGCGGCGCAGCGCCGGCTACTTACCGCTCTGCTCCCCCAGGAACACCAACTTGAATTTTCTCAGTGGGTTTCCAAAATCGCCCCCTGCGGACATGATGCTGGCAGCCGGGGCCGCGAGAAGGAGGAGTGAAGAAGGAGGAGGAGGAGGAGGCCGCGAAGGAACAGGGAGGGGAGAGGAGGGCGAGGGGAGGCGGCGGCCGGCGGTGCGGGAGCCGGAGGGGGAAGGGCTGGCTGCGCGTCCGGACTCCCCAGCTGCGTCCCGGCCCCGGCCTGCGGCTGCGTGTCCGGCAGCGGCGGAGAGGGAGGAGGTGAGGGCGGAGGCGCAGGAGGCGGAGGGAGAGGAGGAGGAGGTGGAGGAGGTGGAGCAGGCGGGCTGGGCTGCCGCGGGCGGCGCCGGCTGCGGTGCAGGGGCCCGGCGGGCACGGCCGAGGCGCGGGCGGCGAGGGGCGCAGGGTGGGCGCGCGGGGCGGACGAGCGCTCTCCCGAGCCGCGCCACCGGCCCCCTCCCGCCTGCGCCGGCGCCTGCGCTCTGCGCGCTCCCCAGCCTCTGATGTCATGCGGGGCCCGCGGCGCTGCGGGGCTTGGTGCGGTGGGGGTCGTCCGCGCGGCCACCCCCACCCACCCGGGCGGAAGGGCCCCGCTGCGGCCGGCCGCGGGGATGCGGGCGTGCGTAACGGTGCCGCTGCCTTAGCCTCTCGCACTCCACCACTGTTTTGGTCCCCGAGAAAGGACAGGGAATTGTCGGGGGGCATTTGTTTCTGGCTTTTTTTTTTAAACCCAGGAGCGGGTCCCTTCCGCCGCCTCACGAGACAGCCGTGCCCAGCGGGAACGTCGCAGGGGGCTGCAAGGAACCGGGGTGGTGATGATGGGGGCGCTGAAACACCTGGCACAATCCGAGGGGTCTTCCAGCCTAGCACCCCGACCTGCCTCTGCCGAGTCCGCAGGTGTCCGCACAGCCCCGGCCGGGGAGATCCGAGGCGTGCCGGTGTAGGGCGCGCCTACCTCACACCAGCTGTTTCTATTGGCATTTTACTACCGACCTGCCCAGGTCCGGGAGAGGAGGGCAAGGGACGCCCCAAATGCCAGCGCGGCTGCGCCTTTTGACCCTGAAATTTCCCAGTGCCATTCCTCGCCCTGGCGATCGTGTGTGTGTGTGTGTGTGTGTGTGTGTGTGTGTGTGTGTGTGTGTGTGTGTGATTGGTGAGCTCCCAGAGAACTGCAGGGTGACACCACGTTAGCCCCTGTGCTCACCTTGGGCACCTAAGCGCACACCATAAGGCCGAGACAGATCCTGTCTCTTGTGGCCTTGAGGCCCCTGGAGATTTCACAGAACTGCCTCCTGCTGCCCTGCCAGCCCTGGCTTTCCCCGTGTGCAGCTGGCTGTTCAGTAAATATGGACTTGAAACTGCAGCGCGCCCTGCGGGTGGTGTGCATGCCTCACATGCAGAGGTGGAAGACAACGCTCCCTTCCCCATTCCCCGCAGACACTTGTTTTAACCCCTTTGCAGTTGTATTTTATTTATTTCAAAGAGAGGAAGCTGGTATAGATAACTGAGGTTCTTATACAACAAAAGAAAACTATTTTTAAATGGAGAAATCTTGAAGAACATTAAAATATTTTACAAAATATGAAGTTCAGTTGAGGCACCAGAAAATTGTCCATAGAACACAAGATCTTTTTAATAATCATAAAAATTAATTGACTGAATTTTGGAAACATCACAAATATTTTCTTTAAAGAAATTATGTATGAGTTTTTAATTTAAATAAATCATGCTCTGTAGGAGAGTTGCTCAAATAGCATGGTGGTATTTTTATCTCCTAGAGCATCGAAACTTGTAAAATGATAATGTCAGTTGTGGCCTAAAAAATTGAGCTAAATTTGTGGCAAGGATATTTTAAATACTTTATGTCTATCAAAAAACTAATTTCAGCTAGACATGAATAAAGCCGGCCTCCATCACCACAGAAGGTACTCCATCAACGTTAAAGAACCCAGACTTACTGGACGCTGGAGCGAGGGGCTACTGAAATAAATGAGGACCCCATGTTAGGTAATTAAAGAGCACCAGGGTTCTTGCCAGCATTGCAACGCCTGTGGCTAATTCAAAGACAGAACAAGGAGAAAGAGAAACATTTTTTATGGTCTAACCAAACAAGCACATGAATTTCTTTTGAAAGTAAACTTTTCCTGGTATCAACCCCAATAGCAATGTTCTAACACATTTTTCTAAAACAAATCTATACACAGAAAATTTAATTTGTACTTGTCACCACTATGTAAAATGGCTGAAGAAACTATCAGAAAAAATGTGCAGAATGATTTGTTAATATTGATAAGCTTCCAATTGCTTTTCAAATATGTCATATTCGTTTGATGTGGTATGAATAATAATAATTATTTAACACAGTTATTGAATTAATTTAGATGGGATTTAGAAAACAGTATCTCTTTGGGTCAAACCAGTTCTCAAAACAGTGAACCAGTTTTGTTTAAGATTGAATGCAAATGTAAAAAGGAAATTAGAATATTGAAGGAAAAAAATTTTGTACTAAATTCAGTTATTAAAACACTTGAATGTATTTTGGGAGCAATTTGAATATGTGAGCATATTTTCATCCATAAATTTTATGGAAATATGGTAGTCAAATTCAACTGTGCTATACAAATAGACTGCATCCTAGATTTTCAAAACTTTTGAAGAAATATGTACAATTTAGTCTTAATAATTTCTTATATATTTATTGTATATTGAAATGAGAATATCTTAGATCTATTGAGTAAAAAAAGCCATACTGCTAAAAAGAATTTAATCTGTGATTTTACTCTTTTAAAATGTTAGTGGCATTTTTCTTTTTTTGAAAGAAGCTTCATTAATTCATCAGAAATACAGACCATCAGACCCAGAGAGAAGAGAGCTCTCACGTGTTCAAAACAGCCAGGGCGAGGCTGAGCTGAACCCAGGAACCTGGAGCTCCACCCAGGCACGTGGGCAATCCTTTGACATTCTCTGAGGCGTATTAGCAAGGTCCTGGACTGGAAGTGGAGTAGCCAAGACTCAGAAGGGCACAGATACAGGGTACTGGGGAATTGTAGGTGGCAGCTTAAATTGCTACGCCACATGTTAGCCCATTTTGACTTTTTTTAATGTGCGTTCTAAAAATGTAAAATTGCATACTGACTCATTATATTTCTATTGGACAATGCTGCTTAGTGTTTAGGTTCATTTACATGTGAGAATATTTTAGAAAACGTGGGAAATAGAATTAGAAGATAAGAGCATTTGGCATGCAAAAACCTTGACATCCTCGCAAACACACTCACCAGTTTACTCTCCTATGTTCCTGAATATCTGCCTTCTGCAATAATTTTCTTTGAGTCTGAGAAGGAAAACAAAAAGCAAAACTTTACTTTACATTTATTCTTTTAAAAAAATATTTATTTATTTTTATTGCAAAGTCTGATATACAGAGAAGAGGAGACAGAGAGGAAGAACTGTCCGATGATTCACTCCCCGGGTGACTGCAATGGCCGAAGCTGCGCCGATCCAAAGCCAGGAGTCAGGAGATCTTCTGTCCATTGATTCACTTCCCAAGCTGCCGCAACAGCTGGAGCTGTGCCAGTCTAAAGCCAGGAGCCAGGAGGTTCTTACGGGTCTCCCACGCAGGTACAGGGTCCCAAGGCTTTGGGTCATCCTCAACTGCTTTTTCAGGCCACCAGCAGGGAGTTGGATGGAAAGTGGGATTGGCAGGATTAGAACCAGTGCCCATATGGGATCTTGGTGCCTGCAAGGCAGGGACTTTAGCTTCTAGGTTACCATGCTGGGCCCTCAGTATGACTCTTGTTCCTTCATTTTGCTAACATTCTTTTGTCTTGGAATGTATTATTTAAGATCTATTATGCTTATTTCCCACCATAGATCTTTCTGTGGTGTCCATTATGTTCTGTTTGTTGTGTAGCTTTTATAACGGGAATGACTTGTATAGGAAGATTGAGTTGTTGGGGCGATTGTTATTACAGGGCCCAGTGTGTAGTAAGATACCAAAAGATCTGCACTTTGTGTTGCAAGGCAGAGTTACAGAGCCAGGCATGGGCCAGGCTGAAGCTGGGAGTTACTTCCAGGTCTCCCTTGTGGGTATCACGGTCCAAACACTTGGGCCACCTGCTGCTGCCTGCCCCGGGGGGCATCATCGGGACATCCTTTATGCCATAATGCTGGTCCCTATTGGGTGAGAGACAGTTAGAATTTGAGTTCACAGATAATTTTATGATCACGGCATGTTGTAGTCTTCGCATGATAGTCAGGAAATGAAATGAAATCAGATGAATCATGGAAGAAGAGTGCTTCCTCTTTAGTGTGAGGTCTGGCATTCAGAGACATCAGATAATTGAAGAATTGATTCGATGAGTCAATTCATTAATACAAAGGACAAATGATGGATGGGATGTGGCATGGAGTGCTTTGTGTGTGGGTGACTCGGTGATGGATAGATAAGAATTGGGATGAGAGATGTGCCTATGTATGCGTGTATGAATGAGTAGATGGATAGACGTTGGAGTAAATGGCTAGATACGGTCATAGAAGAGTTTTGGATGTATTGGGTGTGTTGATAGATGGATTGGTGGAATATCTGGGTAGATGAATGCTTTGTTATTGTGTGTAAATTGATAACACTGTTATGTGTGGATGGAGTCATGAAGAAGTGGGTAGATGAATGTTGATGTGTAGCACACAGGATGGCTATAAGGCTGGATGGGTGTGGCTAATGGATGAGAAACACATGTGCAAGTGGATGATGGCAGTGGATGCTACCGGGTAGAGGAGTGAGCAGAATGAATTCTGGAATAAACCCGTACTTGCGTTCTAAATTTGTACACTAGTTGCTTATGGTGACACTGAGTAAAGTTGCAATTTCTCTAAGCTTGGAAAAAATTTGAAAGTCCAAGGGAAAATAAGTCATATGTTACAGGGAAAACTTTAAAGAAAAAATATGGAAAACATTTTTGAGATTAAATCCTCAATGTAGAATAAATGTCATTACCTGAGAGTGCTTCAAGTTCCTATTTGAAATTAAATTTCTGTAAATCAAAGCAGGAATGGAGAACTGGCAAGGGGTAATGATGACCCATGCCATTGTATTAATGCAAAATGCATTGCAAACTGTTATACACAAAATAAGATATAAATACAATATATGAAAATATGCAAAAGAAGAGACAAGAAGGCTTTGAATTTAACGTTTTCATTTTTTATAGCAAGGGAGTTCATACTTAAGACACAGAATACAAAAATAATCTCAAACTTATTTTTAAAACTTAAAAAAAATTGCTGTTTTGTGAGATTCATTTTATTTGAAAGGCAGAGAGGAGAGAGAGTTTGCATTTGTGTTTGCTAATTCACTCCCTAATTGGCTTCAGTGGTCGCGGCTGGGCCAGG